AATAACAGAAACATAGAGCCAACTAATACATCCAACTACAAAATATAAATGGTTCATATTTTATCACAATAGTCAAATACAATAATCCAATATAATAATTTCTTCTTTTTGCTCGCATACATATATCACTACATTACAAAGAATGGCTCCTAATAAAAAAATATACCTATAGTTTGAATCTTTTAACTTTTAACCTTCTTTACTCAGCTGGGGCTTTCCTTTTTTTTGGAATCAATATATAAATATACAAGATGAGCAAACCTCTCAGTAGACTACCTGAGATCCTACTAAATAAATCAATCTTCATATTTAAAAATTGTACAGAAAAATAAATACGGAATTTTACTGTTCATATTTGAATATTGTTCATAAAAAAAGGGACTTTTACTGTTCAATCGAAATAAAATAGTAAGTATGCAATGGCCCGCACATAATGTGATTATCACAATACACCTGACCATTAACAATGGTTATATACGGAATTTTACTGTTCAACCTTCATATTTGAATATTGTACATAAAAAAGGGAATTTTACTGTTCATTTGAAATAAGATAGTAAGTATGCAATGGCCCGCTCATAACATGATTATCACAATACACATGACCATTAACAATGGTTATATGTCAACGGTAAACATTATTTAGAAGCAATAATAAAATTAAATCTTGAACTTGTACATGCAACTACATAAACTTGGAAGTGACAACCGCATAAAGTTATAAATTGATAACAACATGATCAATTCTTGAACTTCTATGTAGCAACAACCTGAGCTTTCTTTAATCTTGAACATAACATTTGAGTGAGACATATATATATATATATATATAATGCAAAATATGACTTACATGCACATGTTCCAATGCCTGCTTATAACTCCACTTTCACTTATATCTGAATTTGATCATTCTCAAATCTATTTAAGATAGATGGAGACATGTCTGATTTGTTTTATAACTTTATTTTTATTTATATCTCCATTTAATTATCTCACATCTATACAAAATAGATAGATGAATGCATCAATATATATATGTAAGTTAAATTCACAGTTTTTAAACTTAATTTAAACATGGAATAATTTATAACTCTACTTTTATTTATATCTCCACTTAATTATCTCACATCTGTATAAAATAGATAGATGAATATACATATATGTATATATAAGTTAAATTCACAAGTTTTTAAACTCAATTTAAACATGGAATATTCATAGAGACCTAATAGATGCAAAATGAACTCATAAGTCTAAGTAGGTTCTATGCTGGTCCTAACAAGTGATCCAGTGATTATGGAAGTGATTGTTAGGATTGGGTTCTCTATTAGCATTTTATGCCAATTTTGAATGATAGAAGGGATGAACACATGGAGTTTGTGTATAGAATTATGAATTATTTCAAATTTGACTCTAGGAAAGGGGCTATTTTTTTGTAAAAGCTCAAATCGAGATGTATGAATCTATTATGTTGCATGTTGGGCTGGCTTTGTCTGTGATTAGAAATCCTCATCCAAAAATTGCTTCTTTGTGTGGGGTCATCTTGTTTCATAGACAAGCAATAAGGTATTTTTGGTTAAAAGGCGTACTATAAAACTGAATTTCACTCAATGGCTATTGATATATGTGAAGGGGTTTGTTTCAAAAGATTACTTGAGGAACTTGGGGTCCAAGTCTAGGGACAATAAATCTTCTTTGTGATGATTAGTCTGTTATATGATTGGGTTAAACATATTGAAATTGATCACCATTTTATTATTTAAAAGATTGATGATTATCTAATCAATTTAGTCTATACTTAACTAGCTCTCATTCAAATTTAAAAGATTGCTATTAACAGAAATATTATGAAAAATCAATGTATTCATATATATGTAACCTTTTATGATTAAAGTAGTGAATTTTATTGCTTTCACTTCAAATTCTTTAAAAACCTTGCACTCTTAAAACCTAGGTTGTGCCCAGTTTAAGAAAATTAACCACTTAAGTGAACCATTTACAAGATTTTAGAGAAACAAGGAAATAACTTTCTTGTGAATCTCTGGCTTCCCATTTGACCATGATGTTGACTAAATGAATAGCACATACAATCAAAATTTTATTAAAAAATATTTTGATTGTTTTGTACATGCCTAAAACTCATATTTATAGTGAAAGAACTTTTGAAGTTCCTATCGACGATCAAAATAGTCCCATTATTCAAATTGAGCTGCTCTGCTAGTCAAGGAGCTGCAAGTCTTTCGATTGCCCATGATTTTAACGGAAGTAATGAATGCAGAGGAAGCTTATTCCTGTAAGTTCCAGGATTGCCTGCTATTGCAGTGGAGGCGGTAAAGGTAGAGAAAACCAACATTATGTAAGCCAAAGACTAGCAGAGGCAGGCAAATTAAGCTGTGAATACTAGTAACCAAAGCCCCGCGTCTACTGGAAATTCTAGTTTCATTTGTAAAATCACAAACGAATGACATTGTCACCTGCTAAGTGTGACTTCTCTGTTATGCACTTTATGTGCACAACATATTGTTGAAATTGTGAGACTGTATTGTTAAGGAGTTAGGTTGGTTTTGAGAAACAAAGTGCCGGTTGGAAGAATTTAATTGTAATTAGTTCATAAGGCCAAGTAATCTACACTGCAAAGAACATATTTTTTTGTTATTTCCTATTCCATGGTTCTGAATTCACATGAGGGAATTGTATAAAATTTTGAGAAGCATTGGGATCACATCTCTGGAAAAAAAAGTAATCAGTTGTAGAAGCTGTATTAGAGATTGAGTAACTTGTGAGCAAGAGATTGGAATTTTGGAAGAAAGAATCATAATCAACATTTACAGGTGGGAAAAAGGATAATGTTCGTTTTCTTCATGGTAACATGTGATTTGCCTAATTAGTTCTCAATTTCTATCAATGGTATCAACAATTTAGTAGTCATACCTACCATTCCTTAGAAAAACTATTAGCATACATTGTCTTTCTTTAATAACAATGGATGTTTGTCGGTGATGACTAATCTCTCGTCTTTCATTCAGTTCCAAATTATGACTTGCATGTTTTGTCATTTTTCATGAACTTATAAAGAAAGGCGAGGTATGTTCATTGAGTTTAACTAACTATTACATAACCCTTGAGGTTCAAGGGTTGTAAAAATGTCAAATACTTACCTTATGTTACATTTTTCTACTAACTTCTGTTATTTTGATATTACAAGGGTTATTTACTCCTGAAAATTATGATTGTTGTATTTGCTATTTTACAAAATGTGTCAAATGCAAGCTTATAAAACCTAGTACAACAACAATAACAACATCAAGTCTTATCCCACTACGTGGGGTTGGCTTCATGAATCCTTTTTGTCCATTGTGTCATGTTAAGAGTCAAATTCTCATTTAAATATAATAAAGAAAGGTCATTTCAAATATTTTCTAACCAAGTCTTTTAGGTCTATCTCTACCTTTCTTAACATATGCCAAATCTAATATATCTACTCTCCTAACAGGGTCGGAAGGCCGTCGTTTTACATGACCAAACTATTTAAGGCGATTTTATCTAATCTTGTCACTGGAGCTACACCAACCTTTTCACGGATATGCTTGTTTCGTATCCTATATCTAAGAGTAAATGCACTCATCCACCCGAGCATCCTCATCTCAGCAACACTTAACTTTATATTATGCTTCTCTTTTAATGGCCAACATTCTAAGCTATAAAGCATTGCAGGTCTCACCACCATCTTATAAATAAAACAAACCCAAAGCATTCCTCCACGTCAACCATCCAATTTGAATTCTACTAATAATATCCCCATCATTTCACCATCATTCTGAACAGTAGACTTAAGATATCTAAAACGAGTACACTTATTGATGACTTGATTGTTCAAAGTCATAAACCTCCACTAGATCTATTACTATTAAAATTACACTCAATGTTTTCGATTTTAGATCTACTCAAACAAAAATCTTTAGATTCTAAGGTTGACCTCCATAATTCGACTTTACCTTCAACTCCATCTCTAGTATTATCAACAAGAAGAATATTATCAGCAAAAACATACTCCATGGTACATCCTCTTGTAAATGTTGTAAGAACATCTATTACTAAAGCAAAAAGATAAGGGCTTAAGGCTGATACTTGATGTAATCCAACTGAAATAGAAAAATACTTGGTCAAACCACCTTGTGTTTAAACACAAGTAATAGATCCAACATACATATCCCTAATGACTTGAATACAAGCATTATTAACCCCTTTCTTTTTCTAGAAGTTTCCACAGCTATTCTCTTGAAACTTTATCACATGCTTTCTCTAAACAATAAATATCATATGTAGATCCTCCTTATTCTCTCTAAATTTCTCCGTCAACCCTCTCAATAAATGAATAGCTTCCATAGTATACATACCCGGCATGAATCCAAATTAATTTTGAGAAACCTATACAACCTAGTGTTCTTGATGTATTCTCGGATTCGTTCATACATCTTTAGATAATTTGCTTTGTATGTTACATTGGTGTTTAGGTTTTGTGGTTTTTAGTTCGTAAATATTACACACACCTATCTATCATATGTTTAAGGAAAAATATGCATTTTAACATTAAAATAATGGATGTTGGATGAAAAGTTATCACAACTTCACAAGTGAGGCATTTGATATTTTATCAAGCCTTAGGGGATGTAAATGTTATCTGGATTGATCTAGCATTCATGGAGCAAGTCTCCTGATAATCTTGTGATTGGGAAAAATGGCAGCTTAAGAATACCTCTAAAAAAGATAGAAACATAAGAGATTAAGGATAAACTTATTGGTATATTTGAAAATTTTTACTTTTGAGCTATTGATTTAGTGGTGGCCTTGGTGGGGAGGATTCTCTGAGAGAAAGTTCTTAACCATTGCTTGATAGTTGTTCTTTAGTGGTAGTATGGTTTATTATTTCTCTGCTATTGCGCTAACTGCTAATTCTTATTTTCTTGGTCAATTATACTGGAACTATATTCTGTTTGCAGGTGTTGGGGCTGATTTCAGCTCCTTTGACCAAAGCAAACGCATAAGAACTGGTGGGGAATATGCTCAATCTGGTTATCCAAGTCCTCCCTTGCACCCACAGCCCGCTTCCCTTTGGGCAACATCAGGGTATATTTGTTTTTATTTCACTGTTTTAGTAGTTCTGACTACGTTTTTCTTACCATGATTTTTTTTCATTTAAATTTCGTAGGTATATGGCTCCCCCTGTTCTTTATGCCCCATATGGAGGATATCCAGTTACCCAGGTGGCTTTGCCTACCCCTGCTCCTGTGCCACCTCCAACGGTTTATGCTCCTGTTCAGGTTGGATGCATACCACTTTTTCTGATTGGAAATTACCTATCATTATTATAATAGGAGAACATTTTTTGCCTATAAGTCATCCAATTTTATGATCAATTGAAGAAGGAATTATTCCCATTCCACCTCTTTTTCTTTTTCTCTCTTATGTATTAGCAAATAGCATCAATGGAGGCATTGCCATCAAGCGAAGTATGCTTCAGGCTAGAGCTCTCTTATTCTCATTTAGATTAGGGATCAATTAACATATAGATTTATTTTTTCCTTTCAAGAATCCTATTGTTCCTCTTTGGTTTTCTCATTGAGGTTAGGGGCCAATTAACATATCTCCCTTCCATATTTTTTTTCCCTTCTAAACTACAAATGATATATGTTCTATGCTATTTACAAATGATATGATTCTATTTGATGAGGCCTTTAGTGAAGTAAGTGAAATTTAGAACAAAGGTAGGCATGTTTTGAAGTTATGTGGCTTAATATTTAAATTATGCAAACAAGTATTGAGACATTTTCTTTTTCTATGGTGAGACGTAAGCCTCAAGATATGTTTAGGCCTAAGTCTCAAAGTAATATCATTAAATAAATTTAAAATATGAAAAATAAAGCATTTAAAAGTAATAATTTTAAGTTATAACCTTAAAAAAATCATATAAACACTCCATAATAAGAAATCTAAGATCAATAAAGAATTACAATTTCTAAATAAACTTTTCTTAAAATATTATAGTTACGACTTAGAACTCTCATTTCTAAAGTCTACCTCAATCCATCACTTATGGGTCTTCATTAGAATCATCATTATAGTTAATTTCTTTCTCACATTCCTTATTCTTACTTGCATCAACATCCTTCTAATCTTCGTTATCTTCTATCTCAATCAACTTCTTTTTCTCTAATCAATAAAATTCGGTAATAATATTATTTATAATAATGACTATATTGGCCTTTTATAATTTATGTTATTTACAATTCAATACTTTTTTTTTTCTGTTGTTGCTTGGCGACTTTTGTTGTTCATGTTCCTTCATAAAAAATCAATATTGAGAATCCTCATGTAATTGTGATGTTGAAACTCCATTTCTATTCTTCACAAATCATTTATCATCCAATAATACATCATTAATAAGCAAGGGATCTTCATCATCCTCCATAACTTTCTTCCTTAAATGTCTATCTATTAATCTCTTGCTTTATATTATACTATGATGCACCGACACGGACACAACGACACAGACACGACACGGACATGACTTTTTTTAAAAATATAGGACACGTGTGCGGCGTGGACACGACATAATAATTTTTTAATATGATATATAGAAATTAAGGTAACATTATGTTAAACCAGTCTAGTGGACCGGTCCAGCCGGTCTGTGCGGGACCGGCCCAGCGTGAACTGGGTTGAGAAATCTCTGCCCGCTGGGATGCCGAGCGAGCCGCACACTGTGCGGGAGCTTTTTAGGAAGCTTTTTTGAGAGTTTTGAGAGGGAAATTGAATGTAGGGACTGTTTAGGGATTTCCTTTTTCAAAAGTGAATAAGGGACTAATGCATACAAATCAAAAGGAAATCCCTAAACAGTCCCTACATTCAAATTTTCCTCTGAAAACCCTCAAAAAAGCTTCCTAAAAAGCTCCCACACGGTGTGCGGCTCGCTCGGCATCCCAGCGGGCGGAGATTTCTTCGCCCAGTTCATGCTGGGCTGGTCCCGCACGGACCAGCTGGACCGGTCTAACACATGATATTAAAAATGTCAAGAAATAATAAATCAAAATAATGATAACTTGTTTAGCTTATAACATAAAGGTGTTTAGTATAAAATGTCTAGTACAACCACAAAAATATAAGCAAAAAAATTATTTAGTACAACATGAAAGCCCAACTACTCAATAGAGGGAATGATAGAATTAGATTCAGAGGTTGGTCTTTGGCCTTCAATATCATCATCAATTCATCATTGAATATCATTGCTTCCAACTCTGGTTCATGTAGAGAAATATTTGCAACCTCCAATAATCCCATATCATCAAGGCACTCGAATCCATCTCTAGCAACATCCCACATTTTGTTATCATCTGGCATATAAAGTGGGGTTTTTCTTGATAGGGATGAAGATTTGTATGCACATAAACTAAATCTTCACCCCGTTGTGGAGTTATTTTATTCCTCTTCATTGATTGAATAAATGAATATCTGCTCCAATTTCTCTCACAACAGGAAGAAGATGATACTTGACCAAGAAGTTTTATTGCTATGGTTTGAAGAAGCCGTGCTGAAGCTCCATGAATCAACCACCGCATTTTTGGATCCATCCTTCATCTGTCAACTAAAGATTCTTGATCACCAAAATCCTATAAATATCTAAAGAACTTTGCAAGTTTTATATTAATTTTTCTTCTTTCCTCATTTGGGAAATATCGTTTCAAGCATATCTTTCTCATATTTGATACTTCTAAATCTTTTTGTGGTGAGACACTTTGAGGATTTTCTTGAAGCCATTCTTTAATTGAATACCTTCAAATAATATAAAGCATATAAAATTATTTATTTATTTACCAAGAAAATTAAAAATAATTTACAAGATAAATACAAATATACCTTGGATTTAATGAATGTGCCCAACAATGCAGAGGTGTGTTGCTTTTGGTTCACCTATTCTCAAGAATGGTATAGACAATACTCCAAAAACTTGAATCTTCATTATGTGACTTTCTTTCATGTCTGTATATAATATCTTTCACTTTTGTTAACATAGAGTCTCACATCTCATAAATCAAATTTTGGTATGATTTATCTGTGTCAGTCTCTCTCAACTTGTCATAAATCGGATCAGTGAAAGCCAAAATGTAATCTACATCATCCCACCACAAATCATCTAAGACCTTTTCTTTCACATACCTTGCCTTCCAAACATCTTCTTGATAGCAAGACCACTTCTCACTAATCACCATAGATTGAAGAGCATTTTTTATTTGTTTGAATCTTCTCAACGTGATTATTACAGAGGCAAAATGAGTTTCAGCAACAACTAACATTCTCAAATGTGAGAAATCATTAAATATTGAAAGTCTCGTTGAGTGGTTCATAATGAAATTTCTGATCAAAATAGCATCATCTGCAACCGCTGTTATTCAATGACATTCAGCATAGATGATTTCATTTGCCTCTGTATTCTTCACTGCACAAATATTTTTTAGAGCTAGATTTAAAGTGTGCACATTCATTTGCCTCTGTATTCTTCACCGCACAAATATTTTTTAGAGCTAGATTTAAAGTGTGCACAACATATGAAGTCCAGAATATATGAGAATAAGTTTGCTCCGTCAACAATCCTGCAGCTCTACACACCGGTGCATTATCTATTATAACCTGCACAATATTTGAAGGCCCAATAATGACTATCACCTATTTAATCAAATTGATAATGAAATATTTATCCTTGTATTCTCCTTCACAATTCACAGCTTTAATAAATGTTGGACAATTCTCTGTAATAGCCATGAAATTAATAAGTGGTCTTCTTTGAGGATCAGTCCAACCATCAAACATCAAAGTGACTCCTTTTTCTTTCCACACACCTTTTGTTGGTTCAAGCAACATTTTAATATGTGCTCTTTCTCTTTCCAATAATTTTGATCTTAATGCATTGTAGCCAGGTGGAACATAACCTGCAAGGTTGTTATTACATGCAAAAGTGAATGCAGTTTTGTAATGATGATTTCTTGCAAGGTTGAAAAGAAGTACAGCTGAAAAAAATATCCTTGTAATTTCACCATCCAATTCCTCTCGCTGTTGCATGTTAAAAGCCTTCTCCAAAGCACTACTGGCAACTCATTTTCTTTTCTTTGAATCATATCCTTCACTTATATATGATAATGAATGATCAACTCTAATAGATGAGGAAGAAGTGTGGGATGAGCCATCGGTAGATGGCAAAGGTATCTCTTTAGGAAGTGCCATTTTGATCCTAGATTCAGCTTCATCAACTTGTCTGCTCAATTCAATCAATTATGACGTAGTAATCTTAGGACACATTTTAATTCCATGGTCATAAATCTTAAGTAGATGTGGTTTCATCCTAGAATAAGATCCTTTGTAGGTGCCACCACAATAATTGCATTTGAATGACACATTCCCTCCAAAAGTTTTTCCTAACATTGTAACATGAATCCATAATGGCTTATCAGTTTCTACAGATGGCTCTTTTGAACATTCACCTAATCCACTCCCGCCAGCAGCCGAGCTCATTTTGCTAACAAACCAATCATGCATATGAATAGATCAAATTAAATTGATATGAAGTGAAATCAAAATATCTCAATAATAAGAGAACATGAATACAACAATATATCAGTCTGCCGGGGATCCAAACATTCCCTTCAAAAGTTTTTCCTAACCTTGTAACATGAATCCATAATGGCTTATCAGTTTCTACAGATGGCTCTTTGAACCACTCCCACTAGCACTAGAGCTCATTTTGCTTTTAAATTCGCTGGTAAAGTAGAAGAAATAAAGACTTAATAAATATTGTCAAACAAAGTTAAAAAATAAATAAAGAACTTTTACATCATGCGTTATGCAAGGGGGGTGCAACTTTTATATATATTGGTGCAAATTAAAATTTTATAAGGTTTATATTAAACTCTTCTTATCATATTGATATTGAGGGTTTAGATAATATCTACTTGTGTGTAGATATCAATGCAATTGAGACTCGCATTTCTCCTATTTCTCTCTCTCAAATTTTATTAGAGTTTCCGTCATTAGCCATCTAGGCCTTTTTTGATCCGCTCTCTTGCCTCATCTATAACTTTATTAAATAAAGATCATCGTTCGTTATTTCTGTGCATAAATCATTCTCAAGATATGAAGGGCTTTGTAGTTATGATAATATAACTTTGCCAAAAATTCTTGTTTAAAACAATATTTTTCACTTTTTTTTGGAATTCTTTGCCCAAGCATTACTTAACTACAGTATAAAAGTGAATATAGCCCTCAAAGGTTTCCCTACTTCTAAGATACTTTGTCAAATCAAGTACATAGTGGAAAATCTAATGGCTATGGGTCAATTGAGTTCATTTTTAGAGAAGTTTCTCATCAAGGCTAAAAACTCAATTATAATTGTAAATAAACTTGTTTTTCCTCTTTCCTTAGTCAACGCATTCTTTTGTTATTGCAAGTTCCTAAGTTGATCAAATATTAAATCAATAGAATGTGTTGCACATGAAATCCATTAAACATGCTTTCACTTCTCTATTAGTTTATATCCTGTAGCTTTAGATGCACTTGCATTGACAAACATGTAGAACAAGATGTTATCCAATTTGTTCAATTCTACATGAAATAATTTAAAAATTCACTCTACAGCTTTCAACTTATCTAATGCTTTAAAAGACCTTAAAAATATGACGCCAAAAGGGTTTTGGGTAATAATTTGATCAAATTCCTATTTTTGGTATCCGACTAACCACCAATTATTATTGTAACTTGAATTTTGTGGCCTTTTTTCTTAATCTCCTTAATGTGATATTCTTGGCGGTGCTAAATTCCTCCTTCAGTATGTAAGTACTAAGTTCATACATGGAAATAATTTTAAGGCTTTGATCTTGTGAACATATAAACATCATTTCAAAATAACTTTTTATAAGATAAAAGACTCTTACAAAGATAATGGAGAAGTTGCCAAATTAATGGGAATCATATTCTTAAAAAAGGCACTCCCAATATATGTACAAATGCAATTATGAGCCTCTTTGGCATTTTGTGAAGTCATTTGAGGGCTTGCCCTTCTATAGTAATACTTTTATCCTTCACAGTTAGCATATATCGATGGATAGTTCCTCTAGCACGCCTTTATTAGAGAAGAATGACCTAGGAGAAGAAGAATATTTGTTGCTACAATAATAGTAGCCATTATCAACCATATCATTAAATTGCCTTTGTTATAAGTGCTTAGACATGGTGTTGAAATCCAGCCGTTCCTAGTACAAAGAATCCGACGGACACAAAGATCAATCCGTGGGATACTCTTATGGATCACGCCATAATGAGGGAACGAATTTAGGAAAGATTTTATTCTCTTATTTGTGTATTAAATCTGCAATTTATTATTTCCGCATTTGGACTCTTGTATAGATCTATAAATAGGGAAGATTGTGATGAATAAGAACAAGCTTTTCCCTCTCAAATTCTCTAGTTTTAACACATGGCTGTTTATTCATGGAATCAGAAACATCTTTTGTCACTTCTATTACTTTTGCACATGATGCCACATTTTTATGTGGGCCAAAAATATTTTCTTTCATTCTTGTTACACCTCCTTTGGACTTCTTTCTCATAATAATTGTTTTTCAAATAAAAATGTCTTCCCACTCCTAAAACTTATGCTTGAACACTATGCTTTCCATACCATATATTTTCTATTGCATCTTACATTTCCTATTGAACCCTTTTTAGATGTTCTCGGCATTTTCAAATAATCAAAAACTTAAAAAAAAGCAGCAACCAAGAATTGCAAGGGGAGGAAAAAAGAAAGAAAAAAAATAGCACCGAGAAAGAAAAGAAGAATGAAAGCAAACTAAGAGAGAAATATGGTATGTGTCAAGGGTTACCATTTATAAAACCATAACAATTGTGCAGGAGTCTGGTATAACATCAATGACACACGGGCGCAAGCTTCTCCTTAGCGGCATAGGTCTTGACAACAACTCAAAGAGTCTTTGACTTAGGTTTCTTCACCCTCACAACAATAACAACCTTTTTTAAGGCTATTTTGAGGATCCTTGATTTTGTTTATAATGTTTAATAGAGTAAAAAACAGGATTTTGTTTTAAATAAAATAGCTATATGGGCCATCTAGACTTTGGGCTCTTTTCCCCTACGTAAGGCTATAGCTTCAAGATGTTTTACATTTGCTTCTCTCTAAGTTGTGCCACAAGATATATCTTTATTGTGCAATTTTGAGCATTTACTGGGTGAACAATATGTTATTTTAATGGGTATGAAATTGATATTTACATACAAGTATAGTTATACTAGCCTTGCTATGTGGTCTAAAGTGTTGTGTTAAATAAGTTAATGATTGTCAAGTTGATTGTGGCAGATTGAGATTTTTAAGGTGGGTGTATGGAAAAACTAGCATGGATAAATCTAGAAACGATTGTATGAGAGGAATTGTGGGAGTAACACTTATTTAAGATAAGATAGTAAAGAAAAGACTTGGATGGTTATGGCATGTACAACAAAGGGTAGATAATGTACCATTAAAATATATAAACTAATTGAATTTAAAAGGATTTTGAAGAAAACGTGGTAGGTCAAAGGTAACATGTATGTATGCATTTTTTTTTTTTTGCAACTGAGCAAACCCTAGACCTCTACTTCAGAGAACTAGGGCAATGCCACACAACCAAGCGATAGATGATAACATGGATAGATGTTGTACAAAAAGATTTATGCCAAAATAGATTCAACACTTAACTGTCAGCAAAAGTGAATAGGAAATGAGGCTTCATTAAGTCAAACCCAAATTATTAGATTAAGGCTAATAATTACTATGAAACCTTTGTTTCTGATTGTTCCATAACTTGAGATATGTTAGTAAAAAGTATTGACTAAGGCTTCGTTTGAGACGGCTTTCTTATTTCTTCTTAAAGCAGCTTTCTAGTACACCAAATAATGTTTTTTACTAAAATTCCGTTTTAAGAAGCAATAAAAAAGTCGTCCCAAACGAAGCCTAACTTTAAACTAATAATTAGTTCACTTGATTTTTTAGAAAGGTAGTTCATATGAGGGTGGTAAGCAATGCTAAAAATTGTATCTAAGGTTGCTATAATGTGGCCTGTATGCCTTTTAATTGCTTTTTATTGTATATATATTTTCATATTTCATGTTTTCTTGTAAATTTGTTTGTGTTCATAGTTATCAGAAAGCTATGATGTTTCCTAATTGACCGAGTGTTCTTTTCTTCTTTTTTTTTTTCAGAATACAAAAGACAATCCTCCTTGTAATACTCTTTTCGTTGGGAATCTTGGAGAAAGTGTGATAGAGGAAGAACTGAGAGGCCTCTTTAGCCTGTATACTATTTGCCTAATCTCTAAATTCATATAATTCATGTTTTTTTGTCCATATCGTTTTACAATGATTTATTGACAATATTAAGCCCCTTAACTGTACTTGGACTTGCATTACCTACATGTTTTACTCCTCTTTATCATCACCTCAATTCCAATAAAATCCCAAGGCTATTCTTAAAATTTTTCAATCGAAAATGCCCTGTTCTCTGCATATCTAAAGCTTGCGTGTGAGACCAATATAATCACTTGACTATTGGATCATCCGCAAGTTTCTAGCTATGGTTCCACCGTTCCATTACCATCTAGTGGTGGTCTACTGCCAAGCATTGATTTTTCTTTGGTCCAGCCATTGTCAGGTGGGCACCAAGAAGGGGGCGATGATTAAATTTAATAGAATCTGCTTAAAATAATGATGCTGAAGTTCCTTCATTTGTTAAGTTGGGATTTTAGAAATCATAACCTTTTCGATGGTGCTATGATTTTATATTTATATTAATTATCCTTATGGAAACAGACAGCCGGGTTATAAACAAATGAAGATCCTGCGTCATGAAAGAAACACTGTTTGCTTTATTGAGTTTGATGTAAGTAGTATGGAACTATACATGTTCTTTTTATTTTATGATACCATACTTACGCATTTCAAGTCACGATATCAAATGTTTCAATCTGTGCAGGATGTAGCTAGTGCTACGAGCGTTCACATAAATTTACAGGGTGCTGTTCTGCCCAGTGCTGGTCGTACCGGCATCAGGATCCAATATCCTTTTGTTAATTTTATTGATACTTGTGGAACTTTAAATATTTAAACTGCTTGATTTGAGCTATAAAGATGAAATTGAATTTACTGTGTTGGCAACTTGAAGCATGGGGCCATAAGAGTCTGTTCTTCTCTAATTATAATGGTAATTGCATTATCCAGCCCAACCATGCATTTCATTATGGATGGTTGGAATTGAATTCTCAAAATTTTTTTAAATCACTTTAATTTTAATAGACTTAAACTCGACCATGATTGATTAGGATGATCTAACTGCGCGTGCAATTACCATGGTAATCAGAGAGGATTCAAATCCTTTGGGTGACATTCCAATTCTGACACTTCCCATGCTCCAGGAGTACCATTACTGTCCATTATGTATATTCTATCTATAAAGACTCAAAATGAGTGGCTACATACTGCAATTGATACAAAAAATAACTCTTTTCCTAATTTAAGTAAAAAAAAGTGTAGTCAAGTATTTCATATGTAGGTTATTCTTTAATGATAAATATTATTCTGTTTTATGTGTATGTTGCTTCAACTGAATGATTTGCATTGTTATTTATATGTAGGTTGTGAATTTGTTCATATGTACAATCATTTTTATAGATGTATCATAAATATATTGAAGTTATTAAAGATATGTGTGATGAAGCAGTGATCAACATTAAAAGCAGCAGTAGAGTTTTTAAAGAGTTCCCAATTATACTTAGATTATAATGGATTAACATTAAGTTTTTATGCCTTTTTTTTTGTTATGGCTTACAAGTTATAGTAAAGTGAGATTCTTTAGCGTGTGCTATTTGTAAATGATAATTGTAATAGGTGAGATATTGGTTGAACAAGTAAAAAATTCTAGCCATGAAGAAAGAAATTTTAGAAGATAAGGGGCTTAGGACTAATAAAGCAAATACTATATGGATGCAGTTTTAGAGTCACATAAAACTACTTTTTGATAAAATAATGTGCTGGAGAATTAAATTTAAATTTATAAAATTATAATTAGATAAGCTATGCTATATGGATTTGAGTATTGAATGATAAAAATATCATTGATAGTCAAATTGAGCTTGATAGAAATAAGAATATTTAGATGAAATTGTGATAAAATAAGGAAGCATAGAAAAGATGATTATCCATTGTAGACAAGGTTGTGAAAAATAAAACATTAGTGATCTTGATTTATTCAATAGAGGGTGGGAGATGATATACTTATTAGAGGAGCATTTAATATTAATGCTACAGAGTTAAGAAGGCAAATTGGTAAGCCAAAGATAACATATGATTAGTACTAGTAAGTGTTTGTGAGATTTTTTTTTTAACATCTCATTTTGCGTTCTTCAATAAGAAATGACAACAGATTATTGAGAAATCCAACCTCAAGTAATTGAGATAAGATTAATGATGTTGATGATTCATATATATATAGACACACACATATATACACACTTTTTAAATAGTTATAGTTTTCTATCTTTTTTCATCCTTGGCCGAATGTTAAATAAACCCGGTTCACCTAAGTTCTGATTCTTCATGGAAATAATATTTCATCAAACAATATCAAGATGGATTGAAAATTCTAACATGGAAATCAATAAGTTGGAATTTTGCGATATTTTTAATATTTAAGTTTAAACAATGCTATGTTTTTTTTTTTATATATTTTGTGAGGTGATGTAGGATTGTGACATTAGTATGTTCTAGATTCCACTGTTACTTGATTTTTTCTCCTTCACTCCTATATAAGTTTTCAAAAAACCCCTTTGGGCGACGGAAGGACATGAATGGCACCGCTGCAGAAACCAAAGGATGACTTAGCAGTCAATTGAAGCAATGTGCTGCTCTTTGGGCTTTCCCATGAAGGTGACAGTATAGGCTTCGATTTGCAGAACCATGTTGCTGCATCTCACTCCATCATATCATCAGCATCTTTGTGTGTCTGCACTGGAGCTCATGCCATTGCCATATTGTTCAAGTCTATCAACTGTAGCTGTTATAAACTTAAATACTATTACCTTCATGGCCATCTTTGACTTGAACAATACCACTTGTGCTTTTCATGTTCAATATGTAGCTAATTTGAGTTTTTAATGTGCTACTCATTAACCATTTGCATTGGAAAACCCAAGCTCATTTCATGACATTTTGAGAGGATTATGTTCTCAGATTCATCTCATGAGGTATCATCATTTGTTAGAGGTTTTTCGAAATATGATCATCAGCATCACATTCTTCATTTCTATCAATCAGTTTATCCATCGCTGTGGTGAAGCTAACCAATATAATTTCTTCCAGGCTAACAAAACCAAAAACAGTAAGTATTTGTTGGTTTGAGTTATGTGCAGAATTATTTTTGGTGAAGTTCTTGGTCAAAAGATTGAACAGTGGAGCCAGCAGGCGTTGCTCAGAATTTCTTTAACTGGGTAACATTCATGTTAAGTGCCTCATTTTTGCCGGTGCTGATACAAGAACAACCGTTGCTTTTAATATTCTATCTTAGGCGTCGTTTGGGACGGCTTTATTATTGCTTTATAAAATAGTTTTTTAGTACAAAAATTTTAATTTTTTTATTCGAAAGCTACGTTAAGAAGTAGTAAGAAAGCCGTACCAAACGAAGCCTTAAAAGCAGGCAAAATTTTGTAGTTCAAATATTAATCTTAGAATCAATATGCCTCTTCTCCTGACATTTAAGCCATTTTATTGAGTTCAAGTAGTGCAATGAAATTTTAAGCGAAGATCTATGTTCCTCTTGTTTATGTCCCATTTGTTACTATTTGATGGTTCTAAACATCTACAAATGAAGTAATTAAAAAGCTAATAATATTTTGCATTTGCAATCTTGATAGAGTTTGATATGTTGAAATCACTGATCACTTTGTAAAATGAAACCTGTGACATGGTAAGCCCATTGCCTATTAAAAATCTCATCATTTGTGTCACTCCATTTCAGTTTTTGGATTGAGATTTGAGCATCTATATAACACCAAAAACAGGATTTCTTTTATTTAAAGATTTCAATTGTTTTGGATAATTGGATGAATCTTTAGTAGAATTGAGATTGGAATTCCTTCTAATCCCTTTTGTCTTAATATTAATAAAATCCTTGTTTTATGGGTGAGTAGTGATTTAATAATTCCTTAAAACGTTCATCCAAAACAATTAAATAAAATTTTAAAATATTTATAATTTAAGAAATTTTAGCTTCTCATTTTTTCTTCCCATGAATTTTTTTTATTTTAATTTTTAGGGACTCGCCTTAGCTAGTTCCTCAGCAAATAATTTGGTTTTGAAAATGATATTGATTTTGCTAACCACTACAGAACAGTGGAGCTGACAATGTAGCTTCTAATGGTGTATTTGAGCCTTTTAAGTTCTTCAAAGGAGCATTGGAGCAGGATGATCATGCAGATGTAGCTTCCAAAGAGAGACTGGTCAGCCAATTTTGCTATTTGATGCCCTTCTGAATCAAAGAGGAGGATCGCCTCTACAAACAATAACAACATCAAGCCTTTATCCCACTACGTGGGGTTGGCTACATGAATTCTTTGAGAAGCCAGGAAAAGTAAGTCAATAAAGAATCATGTGAGCAAAGGTACTCATACAAACCGACGCGGTGGCTAGTGATAGCCAACGGCGGCGCAGGTGATGGGCAGTGGCGGTGCTAATTGAAATTCGTCTGGGATAAATTTTTTTCCTGCTTTTTAAAACAGTTTTTTAGTATAATTTTTTTTTAAAATTTTAAAAAACAGTAAGAAAGAGGTGGGGATAGTGGTTGTTCCAAACTTTCAAAATAATAAAAAGTTATTTTGAATATTTTTAAAATAATTTAATTTATTTTAAAAAAATGAGAAATATAATAAAATATTTTCAAATAGGCCGGTCCCTTGGTGAGATCAAGTGGAACTAGAAATAAAAATTGTTTGCCTGGTGCATTAATAAAAAGAGGGATGGGTTTCTTACCCTTTTTTATCTCTTTTGACAGCAATTGCAGGGCCTGTTCAAAGAAGTGCATGGACTACAATCTTTTTAGATTTCGGACGTGGTTTGGAGGCGAATCATAATGCTTCACGTCATCTATTTGTTGGGTATTAGTGCTCGGTTCCTCTGTGTATCAGATGACGTGACGTGCTATTATTCGCCTTCCGATGGTCCGAAATCCGCACAGAATAATTTCTCCTAAAGGACCATTCAAGTACAATTGATCTATGGGATATATATGTAGGATCTTATAAATCATGCATGCTAGTAAAGTGCAACCATTAGTTATTTCTTTAATTATTCTAACGATTTAAATTCAAAATAATACAATGGGCGAATCAACGTGTGGTTTCTAGATGCTAATAAAAATGAATAAATGAAGCTTTAGGATATAAAAATTACTAAGTTCATCACTAAAGTGGTTCAATTACTTGAATACAATTTGATTTAGGTTTCGTTGGTTTTTTTTACTATTTTTTAAATTAATTTTTTTAAGTATCAGAGCTTGTTTAATTTTTATCTAATTGAGATGAGCTTGTTTAATTTTTATTGAGTTTGAGCTTGAACTTGACATGACACAATAGAGAAAAAGGGATTTACGTGAAGACTTAATGTTGTTGTTGAACTCGAGCTCATATTTTGAGCTTGAATTTGACTTGTAAAACAAAATTTTGGCTTGAGCTCGTCTGAATTGTCGGAGCTCATTTGAAAAGTTTGAGCTTAATTCAATTATTGAGCTTGATTTTTTTTTGTGTATAAAAAAAATAATAGAGGTATAAGAAGATAAATTAAAAATATTAAAATATATTATATAATACTAATTTAAAATTAATATTTAAATACATTTAAATTAATCAAGCAAGTTGATGAGCTTAAGAATTGAGCTCCAGCTTGTATGATATATATGTTTGAGTACAAGCTTGAACTCATGACTTGATAAGATCGTCTTGTGAGCTCATTAATGAGTTGATTTTGAGCTAGCTTAGCTCATTTAAATCCTGTTGGAGGTATAATCTGAGGCTGGCTAGGGTTGATAGTGGATGTTTGGGTGCTAGAAAAGTTAATTTTCTCAGAACTTAAAAAAAAAAAGAATAAGGTGGTGTAGAGAGCATATGAAAATATTTTTATTTAAAATAAATTAAGAAATTTTATTGTAATATTAGTTGATATATGATTGTTTAGAGCTAGATTTAGGCTTCGTTTGGATAATCTCTCTTACTTTGCTTTTGAGACATCAATTATAATTTTCGTTTGATCATTATTTTTTTTACTATTTTTAACAAATTCTTGGATTAGGATGTTGTTTTCTCTAGTAACTTGAAAAAATTGTTTTATCTAGAGTAGTTTTACAACCACTTTTTAAAAAAGTTGTAGCTATTCCAAATGAATTCTTAGACTTTGTTTGAGATTATTTTTTTATTACATTCTAAAGCAAATTTTTAGTGCAAAATTTTCATAGTTCAATTTTTTTTTGTGTGGATGGTGAAATAGATGGGGATATTATTATTAGAATTCAAGTTTGATGGTTGAAGTGGAGGAATGCATCAAACTTGTTGTGTGAAAGAAAAATCTCCCTCAAACTTAAATGGGCAAATTTTATAAGACTGTGGTTAGACCTGCAAAGCTTTGTGGTGCAGAATGTTGGTCATTAAAAGAGAAATATAATATTAAGTTAAGTGTTGCAGAGATGAGAATGCTCAGGTAAATAAGTGGCTTTACTCTAAGAGGCAAGATACGAAATGAACATATATGTGAAAAGATTGGAGTAGCTCCAGTGGAAAATAATATTAGAAAGAGTCACCTTAGATGGTTTGGTCAAATAAAACACCGACATTCTCATGACCTAGTTAGGAAAGTAGATGTATTATATTTGACTTATATTAAGAAAGGTAGAGTTAGACCTAAATTGATTTTGTTAGAAAATATTAAAAAAGACCTTTATTTATTAGATTTAAATAAGAATTTGACTTTTAAAAAGACACAATGGAGAAAAATGATTCATTTAGCCGACCCCACATAGTGGGATAAATGCTTGATCTTGTGTAAAAAATTTTTGCATAAAAAAATTATTTTAGAAAGCATTAATAAAGCCATTCCAAACTAAAGCTTTATTTGTGTCAGCTTTTGACTACTTTTTTTTTGTTGCTTAAATGAAATTTTTATGCTAAAAAATTGACGAAGAAAGTAAGAAAATAATTGTCCCAAACAAAGCCTAAGTTCTAATTATCTGATTTGTAAAAATGGTCATCAAGCTCAATTTTTATGCACATTTTTATTTAAAATGTAATTAATTTTTTTATGTTGGAAATAAAAAAAAATCACTCTGAAGATGATACAAGTTGTGATTTTAACAAATTTATAATTAAAATGGCAGCTCATCTAAATATTTTTATCAATATCAAAATCATAAAATTTACGTTCAAATGATCATAAGAAGAGAGCTTAGAATCATGTTTAAACTTTTTTTTAAGGTCCTCTTGTTCTTCAATATTTGTGCCGTAGTTAAAATTTGCATATCGTTGATAATATGTGGAAAAAGTCCAAAATCGTGGTTGAAAAGGCGAAATTTTTAAAAGAATTATGTTCATATAGGATTTACTATTTAGGAGAAGGAACTTGATATAAATTAAATTTTAAACGGGAAAAAAAAAAAACGCACTGCATGTGTGTTTTTTTTAATGAAAACTAAAAAAAAAAAAAATTGCTTTAAACGCATTTTTTTTTTTTTTTGTGTTTTCCATTGAAGCTTTCTTTTTTAAATGAAAAAATCATAAAATATGGATAATTTCTTAAATGATTTTTGATGTTCTTCAAATATAGATATAGTAGTAAGGTCTTCTACAGGGTAAGCTCTATGAGTAAATATCTTCGCTCCAGAGATCAAAGACCTCGATGCTCAGCGTAATCGTTGGACGTGGCTTGACCATCGTAGCAATACTTGAAGTTGTGGAATAAGGTTCACACAGACGGCGCCAAACTGTTTGTGTGCTAGATATCCATACAACGCTAAGACAGAAATTTTTTAATTCTATCGCCGCTTATATTCCATCCCGCAACAAATCCAATAGGAAGTAATCTGAAAGCTTTAGAAGATTGGTCTTCCTATATATTTTCACCATTGCAGACACTAGAAATATCCCTTAAAAATAAAAGGAGAATAGTTAACTCGATCTTATAAAAGGCACACCATTTCAATTTTTACACTTCTAATGAAATTGAGCAATTTTAAAAAATAACTTCAAAAAAACTAATTAAACTAAAAAATAAATATTTGCATATTAAAAAAAAAAAAAAAACTTAAATACAGGAACTGCTACTTAGTTCTCCTAAATAATTCACCAAAATTTATTCCATTATGAAGGCTTACATTAAATATTATCCCATACAGCAAATACAAAAAATAATTGGTTATAAATGTAAAAGTTTACTGAAATAAGAAAACATTCGCTGATTAATATATACAAATCTTCTACAAATTAATAATACTAATAATTGCTTGAAAACTAAAATAAATATCCTCAATTATTTTGTTATTTAGCAAAATCGTCGTGTAGAGGCCTAGAGGGAGACCAGATGACAGCAGGACCGCATATTCACGGGTAAAACTTTTATCATTTTTAAATTTAATTTAGAACAAATTTTAAAAAGGAGCTTTATTAATATTTAAATTTTAGGAGGGAGCATAATCTTAAAATTATTTAAAAAGGAGCAAACTTACTAAATAGTTTGATGCATTCTATAAAATGCATCAAACTATTTAGTGCATTTTGAAAACGCCAAATAGTTTGGTGCATTCTATAGAATGCACCAAATGTATTGGTGTATTCTAAACAGAGAAAAATTTTAATCAAAATATCATTAGAATAATATATAATTAGTTGATTAATCAGGCACAATAAACGCATTCTAAAATATTATAAATTAGTAATTTAATTAGATGTAAGAGTTTTAAACTTATATTTTGACATAAATTGTAAAATTGCTTATTTATTTTATTCTTTTATTTCTGAAATATTATAAATTTAGGGTTTCAAAAAATTTTAAAAATTGAAAACAAAACAATTTAAAATTGTATAAATTAAATTGAATGTAAGTGTTAATTAATTTAGAAAATTCATATTACAAATTATTTATTATTTTAATATAATTAGTATCATATTATGAATTACTTAATTTGTCAACATTTGAATTTTTTCGAATAATATTATTTTTATCTAATTAAAATTTAGAAATATCTCAAAAAAAAAAAAAAAAATACAGTAATGACTTTTTGATTGTAAAAAAAAAAAATCGCCACATTTACAAATTTATAAGGTATATGATTTTTTTTAAAACAAATTTTGATTAATGAGCAACTCGCCCGTTCCCTATATGGACGATTTTGTTTGTATTTAGAATGCGTTTATTGCGCATGATTAATCAACTAATTATTATGCTAATAATTTTTTGATTAAAATTTTGCTCTGTTTAGAATACACTAAAACATTTGGTGCATTCTATAGAAAGCACCAAATGGTTTGATGCATTCTATAGAATGCACCAAACCATTTGGCCTTTTCAGACTGCACCAAATAGTTCTATAGAATGCACTAATCTATTTAGTAAGTTTGCTCCTTTCTAAATAATATTAAGATGATGCTCCTTCTTAAAATTTAAATATTAACAAATTTCCTTTTTAAAAAATTTTCTTTAATTTATATCACATTCCTTCTCTTAGCTCTTAGGTGAAATATGACCCTTTTAAAAATTTTGCCGGTAGAAAATAGAC